TATGCAAAAGCGCAATATCTGTTAAGATGTTAAACAGCGCCCTCTAGCTACCACGAAAAAATGATGGAAACAAAATTTACACTGGAGATCATTAGGGAAGAAAAGCTCTTTTAAACGAACCCTAGTTTGATTAAATCGGTTAACCCAAACCAGAGTTATCCTTATTTTAATAAAAGCAAGTTTAACCTTCCCCCACCACTTTATTTTATGAGATAGAGCAAAACACTCTATATCAAAAAAATACAAATTTCTGGATGATTACAATAGTAATATTTAAAATACCTGTTCACCTGCATATTTTTGAGAAAAACCCTGTTTTCTGATTGGCTATCAGCCCCCTAGCGGACATTTTTCGAACTTGAAAATAATTTCCAGCGATTTCTCTTGGTCGATTTACTTTTAAGAATTTTTTTCCCAAAGTTATATGATAAGTAGTTTCTGAGATACAGCCGGCGTCCATTCTTAGTTGGTCACCCGGTACATAGTGGCGCGATTTTTCTGTATATCATGAATGCAAAATACGTTAGTGGTTAATTCATTATAGTAGAAAACTTCACCTACTGGCGTAACTGGCAGCTGAATGTTTTGCATAAAATCAAAACAAAGCGATAATACATGAGGTTGTTGATTTTCTTTTTTTCCCTCATGTGTGAGTTTTGTGTAAATTTTTTTTTGGCTTTTCTCTTATGAATGATATATTCAGCGGTGGCTACTCTATGGCAGTGTCATTTAGTTTGTTGTCTTTTATTTTAATTTTATACGTTTCACAAACACTACAAACATCGACTTGGGGTCTCCTGAGCTTAAATTTTTCCACAAAAAATTTGTAGTAAGTGGCATACGAAATATTTGCGTACATTGGATAACGAATTTTAAAAAGATGGTACATTTTTTCGATATTAAGATTACTATCTAAATAATAAACGTTACGACCAGAATAGTGCCTTTCTTTTTTCGGAAATGATTCAACGTGTTCCCTCATGCACAATCTCTCTTCTACAGGTAATACGTTGCCACTAACATTTCGCCCCCTCATGTCTTTTGGAGATTTTCCCTGGACTGCTAACTTTTTAATTCTTAGAAGTATTTAGTTTGTAACAGATAAAATTGACGAAAACGCTTTTAAACAAACTTCTCATTTAATATTGCCCGCTTTTGAGGCGTAATATTTATACGACTGAGCCCTCTCTCTGGGTTGTTCCACTCTGGGTCTACGTTTTTGAACCCCCTTGATCTCGATTAAGCTTTGAATAAAGACATCTTGTGAATCTTTTGAAGGTAGCTCGTAAAATCGTGTAAAGATATCAATCCGCTCTTGTTCTGTTATTTTATTAAAACAGTTTCGTTTACATCTGTAAGAGAGACATATAATATAAGTTTTAACGTTTTAATAAAACGATACCATTGGCAACCCAACATACAGCCTACCGAATTAGTTCTGACTAATTTCGGACGCTCTGTTGATCTACTTGCCCTTGTCGGCGCAGAACTACAGCATCTTTTTGACTATCGGAAGTCACCATTTTTGATTCAGATTTCGTGTCTTAAACATCAACCATACTTATCTGAAGTCATTCGAGAAAGTTTCAACCTTTTTATTCTATTAAACTTTGGATTTTTAATGGTTCCTGGCATTTGGGGAAGGAATCAATTTTTAGTTTTCATGGGTATTTTTGTGGTAAGTTTGATCTTCATCACATTTCTACTCTTTTGGTTCAACCTTATCTCTTTACAGATTTTCTAAACGTGGTTTTGGCTGTCCTGTCATCGCAATTTTAATTTTTGAGTATAACCCTGCAGCATCGTGAGGTGATATTCTAAATTGCTAAATGCATTTTGTGCATAAGTTGTGTCGTTTCGAGGGTTTTACCGTCCAGGTACATGACGAGTTATATGTCGTGATTGGTGGTTTGAGGTACGAGAGCCTGTATCTATGATCTATGTTTGATTTCCACATGGCTGGTGGTATTGTAAGGAGCTGTTCGAGGCTGTGGTAGATTGGGGATGAGCTCCCACCCCTAACGTCCACATACCATCCAGAAGGACGAGACAAAGCCTAGAATTGCACCGGATAATCAGGCCAGATTTCATGCATATTATTTTTATTTTACTTATTTTTTTTTTTTTTTTTTTTTTTTTTTTTTTTTTTTTTTATTAATTATGTATTAATTAGATATTTTTGGATTTCATTATTAAAAATATATTTTTCTTAATTTTAAATATACAATTTGTTTGGTATATATATTAATATCTTTGGTCAAGTATTTTGTAATGGTGTCACTTGACATATTATTTAATTAACTTTTATTGATTCAAAGGAATTATGTGCGCATACAATAAGGTTCATGAACTGCGTTAGTTTTAGGCATCTATTTAAACTTTATTTTGCGTAGATTTAAAATATTAATGTGTCATGATTTTTTAATCAAACAGAATTCAAGTGATACTAATTTTTTTTATGTCACCATTTAAATTTTTGAATACTTATTATTTTTTAATTATAATTTATTTTAAAAAAAACCTAACTTCATCCATCAATTATTACTGTCCTTGTCTAATAATTTTTTTAATTATAAATAAATTTAAAGTTGGGGTAAAGAGAATCTATTAATTTCTGAGTGAATGTCCTGGCGCCCAATAATTAATTGTTTTTATTGATTAAGTAATAACATCTAATAAAATAAGAAAACGAACCTACGACTGCTCGCAAAGAAGAAAAAGCTGTCGTTGTATTGTGTCCCCCCCCCCCCCCCCCCCCAAGGGAAAAGAAAAAAAACGGCGTTAAAAGTTCTTTAAGTTAAATATTGCCCCCTAACCTAAAAAACTTACTTGTAATTTTCTCCCAGTGTTTTAGCAGGAACCAGGCGGCCCTTGTAATTGATGTACTCTGTACCATCTAGACTGCTTTATTTTATTCCTTTGGTAATTGTCAGGGTTTGCCCTTTTTTTTCTTGGTTTATCACTCATTTTTTACTTAAAAATTGCACTAGCTGTGTGTGTGGATAAAACTGAATCACAAAAACAATCAGCTGTTTTTAGATTGCATATGTTAACTGCTAGACAATAGAGGCGCTGGGCTCAACAATTCACCGTGTGTTTTATCAGGACCCACATTCTGTGTACACTCGTGTTCTACATGTTGAATTCTATTGTCGATTTCGACATGTGGAATTCAAGGCGAGACCAAAACGTAATTCGGGGCACCCCTTGATATGGCTTCGGCCAAAATCGGTATTTATCAAAATGTAGAATTTGGAGTATTAATCGTTCTAAAAATATTGTCTGAAATTCTGGGAACTTTTAAATATCCATAGATGTTTTAGGGATATTTTGAGTAAAAACTCTCGTATTTGTGACAATTGTGACAGAAAGGGATGTGTGGATTGCTTGTTGGTTTATTCCAATTTACAATACCTGTTTTTGACGTTACTGCTTTGATCGATCGATGGCGTCCGTATGATCGTGCACTTGCCGCATTGTTTTTACAGACGTTCGCGAAGGTGTATTGTTTATTTTCATTGTTTTGACATAAATCAGAAATTATTGAAAAAAAAATTAGTTCAAATAAGTGGTGTTTTGTCCCTGGGTGTATTAAATACTTCAAAAATAATCCACAGAAGTTTAAATCGTTACTTTGCGCCCCTTGCTTTAATTCTTAATTTTCTACTTTTAAGTGCATTTAATCTTAAGCTTGTTTTTAAAAAGTTTTTTTTTTTTTTACCAATTTTTTTTTTTTTTTTTTTTTTTTTTATTAATTTATTAATTTAGATAATATTATTTGATATATGTTTCCCTTACCTATAGGGTTCCATTTAAAATGATCTTTGGAAACAAGTTGAACGGATAGAAAGTCGGTTAAAAATGGAAAGCAAAGTTGCGTATTTGTGTGCTCAAAAATAATCTATGTCTATTTTATAGAATATTATAAAAAAAAAAAAAAAAAAAAAAAAAAAAGATGAAAAAAGAAAAAAAATGAACATTTTTTGAAAAATCACGATATTTTCTTTATTACTGGAGCTAAGGTAATCAAAATTTCATTATATGGGAAAGGCAACATGGTCAATTTTAAAAAATGATACCAAAGAAAAAACTAGGCCTTCTATGTTGCGCACGGCCGAGGTCAGCTTTTATTTTTCTTATTTTTTTTTTTTTTTTATATTTGGCATTTTAAAAATCCTTATTAAAAATGTTTATTGAATCATGTTAATTTCAATATGTCGCCCATAGGAAAAGCAAAAGTGCACTTAGGCCATGCGACACGTAGTAAGCCTAGACTTTTTTAAACATGATTTTTTAAAAATCTTCCAAAAAAAAAAAAAAAAATATGTTAAAATTTTGATGACCTTAGCTCGCAATATGTAAAGAAAATATGGTGGTGTTTAGAAAATGCACATTTTTCTTTTTCTCCCTGTATTTGCGTAACGGTATATGAAATATTATAAAAAAATACGACCTGAGAATATTTTTTGGATACACACAAAGACGTAACTTTTCTTCTATTTAACTGATCTTGTAACTTTAACGGTCTTCAAGATCCCAATTATTCCCCATGTAGGTACCTCTCTTTAAACTGGACCCCTGTTAATAGCGTGTGCGAGTTTTCAAGGTCATACCATTAAAATTTAAGATTTTGCTCCTTCTCCTTAATACGGCCCTATATCAGATCAACAATACGATAATTTTACAGCTTTGTCTTAGCTTCTATATACGCATGCAAATTTTCAGTTTAATATGATAATTAAAATTTAAAAGTTGCCCCCCTCCTCCTAAATACGGGCCTCTGGCAGCTCAAAAACTCAATAATTTTGTCAAAAACCAACTGTTGTTTGTTATCGCTTTCAAATAAACCCGTCCTCCATCTCACTAAGTAGCTTTGTTTTTAAACTAGTAATAAACTCCAAATAATTATCACAATAATCAAAATTTAATATACAAAACTAACATCCGAGCACAACGCGATGTCTCGTATTCTAGCTTGTTCTGTTAGAAATTACACAGCGTGCAGACAGCACCGTTTACTTGCGCGGTAATATCGATCGAAGCAGTGACGTCAGGCCGCGTTTAGCGGATTCAAACGATTACGATAATTTCGCACGGATTTTTGAGGCCTAAGCCTTTTACGGAATGTTATGAAACTTTGCATACTGAGTTTTAATGTCATAATGAATGATTTTATGAGAAGTAGGCACGTTTTAATTTTTTTGTGAACATTTCTATTATTAAAATAATTGTTATTATCAACGTGTTGTGTTGAAGAGGATACTATTTTGAATTATTTTTTAGTAGAAGGTAAGGATTGCAGACATTATAGGGATAAAAGTGGCACTTTTTATTTTATATATTACGTTGTAGATTGTTGAATCGATGTCTAGATTTAAATGTTAGCTACTTATTAACTGAAGATGCGTGCATAATGCTTTATATTCTTCATTAAAGCTCCCTTCATAACAATTCATCACTATTTTTGATTATTTTTAGATGTTAATGTAAACAACATTCTTGCCTTACAAAGAGAGGAATATTTAGAGGAAATTCGAGTTATCACCATTAGGAGGCGGGAGCTGAGAGACCCATCTAACCCCTTTGAGCTAACGGATGCTATATTTAAGCAGTGCTTTAGACTTACTAAAGACATGGCCCAATATGTATACAATGCTGTAGCTCAAGATATTGATGTGACTGGGAATATTATGGCAGTTCCACCTGTATTAATTTTTTTTGCAGCATTAAATTTTTATGCCACAGGGTCATATCAGCATTCTGTTGGCTAAAATTTTAACATAAGTTTTTCCCAACCAGTTGCTGCAAGAGCCATAGGGGCAGTTACAAATGCAATTGAGGAGATGTTAGGGAATACATACATGGATAACATTTCCTGTAACAGTGCAACAAAAAAATGATATTAAGGCAAGATTTATGGAAGCAACAGGTTTTGCTGGTGCAATATGAGCTACAAATTGTACACATGTAGCAATATTAGCTCCTCATGAGGAAGAACATAACTACCTTAATAGAAAGCTTGTTTACTCCAAGAATGTGCAGTTGGTAAGTTTTTCTGAAAGTCCACAGTCTACGGCAAATATGTATATTTAGTAATATTATTTTTATCATTTTCAGTGTGTGATATATATATATTTTGTTTAGATTTGCACTTATATGATTTAAGAATTTTAAATGTAAATGCAGGGGCAACTCACGATGCATTTATATGGCGAAATTCGTATGTGAAACAACACTTAATGGCAACATATAATCAAGGTAAGTCAAGCATGGTTGAAACTAAATTTTTGCCTAATTGTACCATTTAAGTCAAAAGTTGGGGACAACAATTTTTAACCAGTCAACATTAAACGCCATATACCAATTTACACTTAGGAATAAAAAGTAGACAGGAGAGATAGTTTTTTGAAAAAAAACTCAATATTAACCAATTTCTGTTATTAACTGCAAGTGCAAAATGAAAAATTTTATCCCTCGACTTGCCACTTTTTTCTTTGGAATAAAAAGTGTCTATATATACTATTTCCAACCACTGTCATATTTGTTAAATACTGTTTGTACCCTAATTGATTTACTTTTTTCTGTTTAGGAGATCACAACTCATGGTTGATAGGGGATTCCGGCTATCCACTGGAGCCATGGTTAATGACACCATTTCGAAATCCACCAGAGTCTAAATTCAATGATTTCTGCTAAATTCTATGACATAGCTGCTAGAAATTGTATTGAACGTTGCAATGGGATTTTAAAAACAAGATTTCGTTGCCTATTAAGAGAGAGAGAGAGAGAGTGTGTTAAGGTATTCTCCTGAAAGAGGTGGAAAGATAATTAATACTTGTGCGATAAAATTTGATTCTTGAAGAAGAAATTAATGATGAAGTGTTTGATAATAATTTACTAGATGCTAATGTATTGAGACAGGGTCAAACTGTAAGGAGACAAATAATAAACATCTACTTTGATTATATTTTTTATAACTCGTTGTTTTGTCAAAGAATTTTTTTCACTTTTGTATTAATGTATATTTATTCGTTATATTATGTTTAGTGTAGCTTAGCACAATTCATTTTTGTTATTATATACATATATATTTTATATATATTGTACATCATGTAAGACCTATCCATAAATAAATAAACCTCTGGAATGATCTTTTTGTTAAATTCTTGAACCTGAAAGAAGTTCAATGAAAATTTAATAATCTTAAAGCTTGACACTGACAGTAATCAATATGTGGTTTTCAAAAAATAAAAAGACATTTTAGTTCAGAGTAAACATATTTTTAAAGTACAGAACAAGGATCATCTAATTACAAATAACTTAAAGTAAAAACTCTATGTCCTAATCAGACTTAACAGTAACTTCTTGCTTTCTTTGGTTAATTCAGACTTATGTTTAAAAAACTTCATGAACTTACATTAAATAAACTACAAAACAAAAACAATCTAGTTCAAAAAAAAATAACTAAAAACTTCTACGTCATAATCAGATTCAACAATCATTTCTTGTATTTTTTGGTTACTCAATGATGGTGCGTTTCCTGTTTTCATTTTATAAAATATGTACAAGTTCAACTTAAATAACAAATAATTTTTTTTATATTGCACGTTAAAAAAAGTTAACACCATGAAAAGTAAGACCTCTATACCCCTATTCAAACATCATTGATTAAGTTGTTTTTCTATGAAAAATGTTACAACTTTTTCAAAACTGTCAGCAATACGAATTATTTTTTTCAATATTTTTAAGTATAACCAAAGATTCCTCTGTCATTTTTTCGATATTATTTGACAACCTTGGAACATGTTTTAATTTCAATCTCTTAGGTTTCTTCACCACAGCAGATTCCATCTTCCTTTTTTCGCAGTAGTTGTGATCACTTGAACTTGCTTCAGCTTGATGAAACGATTTTGTGTTCAATTTAGGTGTCTCTCTCTGAAAATAATGGTAAGCAATAAAAGTAATAATTCAAGTAATTATAGCTTTATAGACAAAAATTTGTTGCAGTGATCTCATGTATTTGTTCGAGTAACTGCAACTTGCAAGTTGTAAGTATCCCTTACGGATACAATACCAAAAACAGTTCTTTACTGTACACACATTTTTTGAAGTCTCACTAAAACAAGTCTGAAGGTTGTCAGTATTTTCTATGTTAAAAGTTTGCAGCCAGTCTGTCTCAACTTCTATCTCTTGAATAATCTAAAAAAGAAGGTAGGTAGGTACATGTAAATATTGAAATCATGAAGTCAAAGTGTATATGATTTATAGAAAATAATTTAACACCCCGATATAATGAAAAGAAAGAAATGTTAACACTGAGAGCAGAAATGAAAAACTCAAATAACAAAAATATTTACATCAGCTTTTTGTGCCCAGGCTTGTGGCTTAAATAACTCGGATTTTGTTAATTCCCTGTCAGTTGTTTGGAAATCCCAACTCCTTTATACCTTCATCCCCTTCTATACATTTTGTTCCCATCGTGGTCAACAATCTTTCTTCTTGTGGAGTTAAAGGGGGTATCTCTATGGGGCGTCCACCACCAGTTTTTGTCGGAAGAAATTTTTAATTTTGGCAGTTTTTGCTTTGACTTTGCTCTTCCAGTCAGTAACTGCCTAAAAAGTATTTTCATTAATACATGGCATGGATATAATATATTTTTGGTAAAAAAAGAGTGTTAAACACCTTCTTCTTTTAAGTTATAATTAAACAAATATTAAAATGTTATCCTTCTCCACTCTGCTACAGACTTTTCCCCCAGCCCTAGTCCATTTAATTTAAGGGCGACAGATGCCCACAGCTCATGTCCTTCCGCTTTTCTTTGAGCCCCATTAAACTCGCTTGTAATTAGGTTTTTATGTTTTTCTGCTTCATCCAGAAATGCCTCCCAGTGTTGAACTGTCACCCCCATAGTACACCAAGCACAAAAATTATATGACAAATATATACAAAATACAAGTAAAAACCTTTTAAAAATCACATATAAAATCAAAGTCAAAGCTGTGAAAATCTCGACAAATAGGTTAGATATGAACATAACCACAGAAAAATTGTCTGGGAACACGAAATCGACACATCTTTACATGTCGCTTTTTTGCCCTGTTGCACCGCAGTCTAACACAAAATTCCCTGATAATGCATTATTTACACTGTTCATCATAATAGCAATTGAGTCCTTAGCAACTGCTGTTGAAACATTAGCTTCTTGGTTTGGTTTGGTTTGGTTGGTTGGTAGTAAAAATGGCAATCACGTTTCAGATGATTTCTTCTGTCACAATGGTGTCACAATGGAAATATTTTTGAACTTTCTATAGCGGCACCGCTTCGAGACCATTTATTTCTCTTTTAAACTTTTCATTTACTGGGGCAAGTAAATGAAGAGCTTTCATACCTTTGTAAGAATTTTTACAGGAATTTTCCGTTAAAACGCCTGGATAATGTTCCAAATGATAAAAAAATTAAAAAAATGGCTTGCCGCTGCTCGGCGTTAAATATCTGACGTATCAGAAAAAATAGTGTTTTATTGCTGTGAGGATCATTCCAATGTATGTTATAACATCACATGGCGATCCTGCCTAAGGGCCTTAATTTAAATAAGTTTAGTTAAACAGTATGGTCAAAAGTGAATGTGAAAAAGTGAAAATAGTGAAACAAAATTAACTAATTTACCATGGGAAAGGCAGATTCTAAAATACAGTAGTAATAACTGATAATGGTGTTGGCTCAACTCCAACTTCATCGTAGAACAGGAGAGCATACAAGTGCCAACAGATGTTCGAGTACTACTGTACATTGTAGTAGCAGTTGTGGTAATTTTACTTCTACTAAAATTACATAAAGCGTACCGAGGGGGCTCCGAAAAGACTTTTCCAGAAGCATGGTCCTTCGAACCCAAGCAGTAGATGTTTAGTGCGAGCAGTAGTTATTGATGGACAGTGTTGATGGTATGTGAATATACAATTTTTTGCGTTGTTTTTATAGCCTTTATTTAATATTTATAATTGTTTTTTTTTTTTTATTATAAAAAGTTTATTTGTTTTTTGGTAAACCAACTATTTTTAGTAGTGTTTTTAATATTTAAAAATAAAGAATTTTTATTTTTGATTAAATTTCGTTCCTTTTTTAAAATTGTTACTTTTTGATAAAAAAAAAAAAAAAAAAAAAAAGTTTTTTTTGTTTTGTTAAAAAAAAAAAAAAATTGTGTTTATTTTGTTTTTTATAATTTTTATTTCTTACTTTTGTATAATTTATGTCTGATCATTGGGAAGGGATCCTTGCCAAGCTACTAAGTTTAATTAATCTCGTTAGAAACGAATCAAAACGCGTTCTTAAAACCAAATACCTAGAGTCTACAATTAAAATAGATGGTCCAAGCAAATTTTATTGGAGTACTTTAATAATTTCGTTAAATTAGTACGATTTGTTTATCCATCATAACTAAGTGATTACCTATGTGTATATTAATTAAAAAACTTTTTACCGTTGAGAGAGTAAGTATATAGAATCATATCAGGGTTTAAAAGTACCCTACAAAGTTCCAACTTCGTATTTGGAATATATAAATCTAGAAACTATTCTGACGAAGAATGAAGAAAAGAAGAGCCTTCTGATAGAGGCTCCCAGAACAAATCCTATAAAAAAAACTGTACATGGCGTATTCAAAACAGAATTCAATGCGAGTAAAATGTTTTCCAACGAATTCGACGGTTCTACAAGTAATACAGTCGTTATAGACTCTTTTAAATTTTACTGGCGCTTAAATTGCGAAGAACCACCCCTGTGTAAATAATGCGGTGGCCTATGTGAAAACGAGACTGGTTGGAAAAGCACGTGATTTAATTGATGATAACGATAATCTGGATACCATAATTAATAAGCTACGAACACGCATTAAAACAGAAAGTTTTCATATGGTAACAGCAAAAATACTTTCTTTAAAACACTCGAACAATTCCAAGATATGCACAGAGATTGAAGTTATCTAACAGAAACCCTGAAAAGAGCTTATATAAATGAAGGAGTGCTCATAGCAGTAGCTGAATCCTATACGACAAATACGATAGTTAAAGCTCTAAGAACAAACAGCAATTCTGAGAAAGTAAAACTAATAATGGAGGTTGGTAATTTCACCAACTGCGAGGAAAGCAATTTTCTAATTTATAACTATTTAGTGGAGGATACTACGCCGATAGTTAGCCTCTCTTTCATATACCTTAATCATATCAAAGACGATACAAGAGAGGCTGGGCTCACCTGCTCTCACCTGCGAGTTTCAGTACGTAGTCGCGAGACTAAGATAGCGAACTCAGAGGATTCAGAAGAACTTACTGATAAAGTGACAGACCGCCCAGGGATATTATATAAATGCATATTGCTTTCCAATCACGTACCCTCCTCGATCCGTTCGATGGCTCTCAGCTATATAATAGAGGTCGAGGAAACTCTTGGCCTAATCATAGAGGACAGTTTCCTAGATATGTCAGGCATTACACTCAGGAAGAGTCGGGAAACGTACAGGACCCCAGACAGGTCTACTGGGGTCGCTATAAAAATATCCCATGGACCTATCACTCAACTTGTGTGTTCCAAAAAAAAAAAAACTTAGCATGACAGATAATCGCAAAATTACTTTATTAGTTGATACAGGTGCGGATATATCTTTATTTAAATATTTAAAAATTTCTCCTAAACAATTTATTAATGAAATATAACATAAGCAATATTAAAGGTATTACAGATGGCTCGACGAGTTCTTTAGGCACAACTAACACCCAAATTTTTATTTAATAATATGAATAAATCCACCGTTATAGAGCAAAGTTTTCCATACCAGCTGTACGGAATTTTAGGGCGAGACTTTATTTCGAAATATCAATGTCAATTTCAATGTTACGCTAACTGGACATTAAGAACTACCAAATTTTTAACTATAAAAACAACATTTGCCAATTCTTATCAAGGTGCCAGCAAGAGGAAATTCTTTGGGTAATCCACCTAGGTGTGAGGTCGATTAGGTATATTAAAAAATTCACGCAACTAAGACTGAGTTCTGTTATTTTTTTGAAATACTGAAATCGCCGACGGAGTTTTTATTGCTGGTTCAATTGTTTCAAAATCAAATCCAATAGTTAGATTTAAATACTAACCAATT